TATCCTTTTTCTCCACTGATACACTTTCCTGTGTAAACGCACCTTTTCTAGATGTCACAAAATCTATTAGTTCCACAGGAAAGCTCTGAAGGACATTCATTTGATCACAATAACAGAACAAAAGATGTAGAAGAGACTGGCCACAATCACAATTTGAGTCAAAAGTCCAGCAGTAGTTTTGTATCTAGTTCAAAAAAGGACTAAATGTCCTTGCTCACTGAGTCCGAAATTTTCGTATGCGTTTTTTATTTATTTATTTTTTTTATTCGTCATCCTTTCCTTTCAAAATGCTTGAAATTGCTTGGATGCGAAAAAGCAGAACATTTTTTAAGATGGACGAAAGTTTCGGAGGCAGTGTGTAAACGTGATTGACACAATGTAAGGTTGTATTTATTTTTTAATTTGCGAAAATTTCGGAACGAAAATTTCGGACTCAGTGTGCAAGGACCTTAGGAACTGCAAGGAACTTAGTTCTGTCCACTGGTTTGGTAACTGGATTTTTGAGATGAAGGCATTGCACATAAATGAATACATTAGAGTCTTTTATTTTGTTATAGTAATTGTTAGCCATACATTATTATCTGTATATTTTATATAAATTTGTTAGTTTCAGAAATTGTATATTTTTGTGTTTTGCATTTTTTTTATCTGTTTAGATTTTCCTGAAACGTCTATAATAAGCCATTGAATGAAAGGTTCCATTGTGACTCTCTGTATTATGCTACACCATGTGGTGTAACAACATGGCCCAGACTAAATGCTGTGTAAATCAAATAATACTTCATAAGTTAATCAGCCTTCTAAATATATGAGAAACAAAATCTGTCAAAAGTCTGTGACCTTGAAGCCTGTGACTGGCCATTTCATTTGAACATATTTCTTTTAAAGCTGGAGATGTTCTTATTGAAAAGGAACATTCGGTAACACTTTAGTATAGGGACCAATTCTCACTATTAACTAGTTGCTTATTAGTATGCCTATTATTAACATATTGGCTGTTTATTTGTACTAAATAAATTTTTTTTATAAAATATATATTCTGCATGACCATATTTTACATCCCTAATCCTACCCAATACCTAAACTTAACAACTACCTTACTAACTATTAATAAGCAGCAAATTAGGAGTTTATTGAGGCAAAAGTCATAGTTAATGGTTTGTTAATAGGTGTGACTGAACATTCTAATTAAACCACCACTTTAAGCCAATACTGTCAATTAAAAAAATTAATTATCAATTAATTATTAGATATATTAACATATATTAACATATTCACATCTTGAATTTCATTTTTTTTTCAGCAGTAACAACAGTAATTTGTCAGAAATCATTATTACTGTGTGTGTATATTGTGCAGGGCGACATTTAATCACAATCGCTTAACTCCTGTGAATCCAACTTAGTCGTACCAAACACACGAGTTAATAAACATTTATACAAATGTGTTTATATGCAAATCAGTGAGTTCAGTAGGCTACCTGACACATTTAGACTCGACTCCAGCCCTGTAATCAAACCTCGCCTCTGCTGCTGTCGTCATGGCAGCCAAACAGCATTACCAGCGATCTGCAAGTGCCTACAGCTCCTCTCTTGCGCTCTCATTTGATTATTAAGCCCATCATTAAGAAGTGGCGTTGGTATGAAAACAGGACTTTGTGCTTATGTGTGTGATGCTTGAAGACTGGGCCTGTGTTGATGTGATCAAGTTGACTGGAAGCTCATCGGGAGATAGTGAACAGATTACACAGTTGTTGAAATGGTTTAAGTGTGAACCTCTATGGTCTGTGGAGACAGCGAGACAATGTGGGGGTCATGTGAGGAGAAGAGATCATCCATTTTTGATCTGTTTGAGCTTTGTTTTGTTTGAAGGGACATGAAAGATTTTGAAAGATTGAACAAATAAGCTTTTGGGGTTTTCAATGAATCAGTTATCAGCCTTATTTTCCGATTTTAGTTTTCCATATCCGCAAAAATCCACTATCAGACATCCTCTAATATAAATGATTAGGCTATGTTTTGCAGTAAGATATTTCAATATCAGGAAATAGAAGAAGGAGAAGGTCAAATCTCATAATATATAATCAATTGTAAGAATGACTGATTAAAATATAATCTGACACCAAGAGTAAACACAATATAGCATGCTAAGTGTAAAAATAATTTCAAAAATGGACTGCAACTCAATAAAAAGAAAGTCTTATCATTATAACTTTTCATATATAAAGCAGATTATGGTATACTCCGTAATTCACTCCCCACACTGTGAAAACCTATCAGAGTCCCACACTGTCATGTTACAGCGTTTCCAGGCCTGATCCCGCCACTGCTAAGGGGATTGAGTGTGTGTGTGTGTGCATGTGTGTGTGTGCTGTGACTGGGATGAAGCCTTGGGCTGAGAAATATAGCCTCATACACGCATGTACACAGACACACTCTATCCAGCATCCATTCCTCTCAGGGACGCCACAGGAAATAGAATCAAATAACAGTGACCAGAAAGAATCGCAATTTGCCACATCATATTTTCTGGTTGAGAGAACTCCCTTCTTTTTCTGTCTGTCTCTCACTTTTCTCTCTCACCTTCTCTCTCTCTCACACCCTAATTCTTTCAGTTTTCCTCGTCCTCTCTGACACTAACTTTGTTTTCCTCTCAGTTTAGCTTAAACAATAATGAGATAAATGTAATTTAAAAAGGTAATTCATTCACCAACATATCCAGTAAGATATTAAAAACATCCTTAAAACAAGACACATTTACTTCAGATGCAAAATTAAAACTGATAAATGAATTCATTTATTGTTGTAAGTTTAAGCCAAAATATCTCCATATTTAAATTTAAATTTTAAAATTAAATTAATTAAAAAGAATGTTTCAATATTTTTACTTGAAAATAAAACAAGTACTGATGCATATTAAGAACGTATGTTTTCTGTTTTTGTTTTTCAGTGAAATAGTGGCAAAATTTGATATGTAATATCTGTTCAGTGATTTTTCAATCAAATATTTTAAATCACTGAACTGCACTAAATGTGCACTTCTGTGATTCAAAACACTTCATTTTCTGAAAGGAATGATTCAACCCAGGTATGCGCTGTTATGAGCCCACTTGACTTATAATCATTTAATTTATAAGCAATGTGATCACAATAGGACATGACTAGTTTCCATCCCAAAATCTCATATTTGAAGAAATGTTTATTTTACCCATTATTTCTGACTTACCTTGATGTCACATCTTACTCTCAAATCAGTCACACCTGATGTGCATAAACTGACATACTCATGAAAAGATAAGCAGTGATATAATGGCTCATCTATGATGATGGATGAGGAGAAGATTACACCAGGACTCAAGAAGAGGTAACTTAAAGCTGAAGTATGTCAGTTAATGGCATCAAAAGATCTATTCCACAGAAATGTAAACGCAGTATAAACACAATGTAAACATAATCAGTTATGTCTTAAATAGTAAACAGATTGGAAAAAGTAAAAATCTGATGTGACAAATATGTGCATTAGTTCTTACAGCGTAAACAATCTAAAAGAAGTGCTGCTGTCTATGATGCAGCATTAATTAAACAATATTGACAATTGCAACTGGTGGATAACTTGTTAGATATAAAGCATGTTGAACTAAAGAAATTCATAGAGAAGCAACATTTTACTGATAACAGTTCATTTTATTTACAGTACTAAATCAGTATTATTGTATAGACTGCCAATAATTTAAGTAGTTGTATTGTACTTTTGATTACTTTCTTTGTTATGTTACTTTCTTTGTTTACTTGAAAAATGTCTATTGTCGAATGCTGCTGCTAGGTACATCAGAAAAACAAGCACTGTTTACCTCATTAATGTCTTTGTCATATTGCTTGCAAATTGTTTCTTTGTTCTTCATTTTATTACTGACTGTTTACTTGTCTTAACTGTGTTTACTGGTACATATTTTATAAGTTTAGGATTTTAATTTGACATTTGGTAACATTTAATGTTTATACAGACAATTTTGGTATTATGACTAAAGACCTGCTCACACACTGACTTCACTCCCATTTTGTAGTTGCTTCTGAAATGTGCTGTTCATTTGCATAGAGTTAAACTTTTTGCTACTTTGTTGCATCACTGGACACACTTGCATCGTCTCCAGTGTTCACTGAAAGTTGGCAGTTCTCTGCTGAATGTGAATGGGATCATGTCGTTTTGACGTATGTCTCTGACAGCATGAATGGGGCTTAGGGATTCACCTAACCCATCCAATCAAAAGTTCAAAATCAAATTTCAGATGTACGTCACAATTCGGAAGCAAAGATCTGTTACTTCTTCATCTTCATCACTAATAATTTAATGACACTGTTAAATGCAATGTTCAGTAAATCTAAAAAAAAAAAAAAAAAGTTTCATGATTATTCATGACTATCATGATTATTAAAGTCACTTTTTTAAAGTCATGTTTTCAGTGACACTAAAAACAGACTAAAAATCATTGAGCAGGCTTGCGTTTAACAATGCATGATCTTACATGATCTGTTTTAGATCTGTTTCTTGAGGGGATGCTCTTGAAATCAGGTCAAGCCCCACACCCATGTAGCCTCAGTTAAATCTCAGCGCACTGTCTGTGCCAATGGCCATGGTCCCTCTTCTAGGCACTGCATTTGTTTATCAAATTGCATGATAAAAATCTCCCCACTGCTCCATTCTCTCAGACAACAAACCATTTGCATTGTAAATACCACTCTAGAAGAGAGGAGGGGAAGAGAAAAAGGGATTTTTTCTGGCCATGCTCCTGAGGGTAAATACAAAAGACACATACTTTCGTCTTGCATGGACATATCAGTGTTGAGATCACATAATAGTCCCTAAGAAACTTTATCTTCCCAGCCAACAGAGCGAGAAGAAAGCAGAAGGTTAGGAAATAAAAAAAAAAAGACAAAGAAATCTGTTTATCATAGCTTAATGGTTGCTGTAGATAATTTACAGAAAAGTGACACCTGGAATACCTGGAATTCAATGCCATAGTTCTCCCTGCAGAAGTCTCGGAGTTTGGGATAGACATGTTCTTTCAGAGCATTTCTCTCTGCTTCTGTATCTGTGACAGAAAATACAAACAAACATGAATATTAGAAGAGGATACTCAGAGGACAGAATTTTAAACATTTATCTGTAAATATTCATAAATCTTTGTTTGTAAATGTCTGTAAATCAATTTATTCAGATTTTTAACAGACTGTAATTACAAAAAAGTACTGTGTGAATTTATTTTTATATTTTCAGGTTTTTAGTTTAAGTTTTTAGTTTTTGCATTTTATATTTAGTTTAAGGTTTTTTTTGTCAATTTATGTGATTTTGATTTTTATGTTTTTTTTATGTTTCTACTGGTTATCAAATAATACTTTATAAGTTAATCAGCCTTCTAAATATATGAGAAATAAAATCTGTCAAAAGTCTGTGACCTTGAAGCCTGTGACTGGCCATTACATTTTAACATATTTATTTTAAAGCTGGAGATGTTCTTATTGAAAAGGAACATTCGGTAACACTTTAGTATAGGGATCAATTCTCACTATTAACTAGTTGCTTATTAGCATGCCTATTATTAACATATTGGCTGTTTATTAGTAGTTATAAAGCACTGCATGATCATATTCTACATCCCTAATCCTACCCAATACCTAAACTTAACAACTACCTTACTAACTAATAATAAGCAGAAAATTAGGAGTTTATTGAGGTAAAAGTCATAGTTAATGGTTTGTTAATCGTGAAAATCGGACCTTAAAATAAAGTGTGACCCTGTTTTGTTTTTATTTCAGTCTTTTTTATTAAGTCATTTAGTACTTCAACATAATCTTATATTTTAACTAGTTGCCAAAGTTTTTTTTTTTGTAATCTTTTTTTCATCCTCTATATCTCAGCTTTGTTTCAATTAATGATTTTTAATAGTTTTTGTATTATTTTTAATTAACAACAACAACAACAACACTGAAAGATTACCACATTCATCCATCATGGTATTAATGTGGTATTTCATGGTACTTCAAAGAATACTATGGTGTTTCTGTGATACATGTCCAAAAAAAAAAAGTTTTGTCAATGTGGGTTGAAGGTCTTTCCCTCTAAGATACTTTATATCATATGCATGACTGCTTAGGAGCAAATCACATACAAACACGTACAAACATCTCTCTTTTTCAGTTACTGTCTTTTGTTCTCTCTTCAACACTCCGTTCTTTCATACACTGTATTTCTCGGGGGATAGCTGCCAGCAACGCTTGAAAACAGAGATTCCCCGGCTTACACTGTAGTCACTTCTGTTCTCTGCTGCTAGTAGCAGAGCAAAAACAAACACAGCGTCTGAGATCACACTGACAATCTTGGATTCAAAACCTGGAAATAAACACAACGTTGCATGATTTTTAAAATGTAAAACAGCAATGATATGACATCAAATAAGAAATATTCAAGATAAATGAGAATATGAGAACATGATTGTCAGGTTTGATACTAACTGGTGCAGAAAACATTCTGAAATTAATTTAAATGATTCACTTATGAATTAATTTGTGGTGAATAAAATGAGTTAAATTAAAAGGCAAAATGCAAAATAGCAGTATTTACTAGTGGCCTCAGAATCTTGCACAGCAGTAGTGTATATTGTTGAATATTCTATGATGCCCTTTGTCACAGACAGTCAGGGCAATATGAAGCATGAGAGTTGACACATTGAGGATACTCATCCTTACTGTATTTACTACTGTACACAGCTGCTAGTAGCAAGGCAAAAACAAACACCATCAGCGCCCTATTCACAAAACAATTAAACCTGCATTTACAAACTTTTGATACAGTACCTAAAATATTCTCATATATGAATATGAAAAGATTTGTTTTGCTATCACAACAGTCTAATTTCAGCAGTTACGTAAATACAGTTACGTATATGTGATGCTTAGTCAAACATCTATATTTACATCTTTCTGCTAAGCTTTGATTTACCTTGGAATGACAACAAAAGGTAGCTAACTTGATTGCCATTTATACGCACATTTCAACCCTACCGAAGCATGGTTCGAAGCATCATCTGTCGGTCACTACGAGTTATGTCGTGACGACATAGGGGGTTTCAGGACTTTCAGAGAAAATGCCAATGAATTTTGGCTAGTGGACTTTGCATACCTGTGCCACTCCCCGTGCATACGGGTATAAATATGGCTTTGGAGCCGAGTGGGTGAAAGATTTTTTTCTCCATAAAGCCTTTTCGTTCTGACTGGAAGAAAGAAGCTGTCCTGGTTGGCGTGACGGCACAAACAGCTGTGTTCCTGTTGATTCAGCAATTCCCCTAGGTGCTTCAACTAAAAGAGCAGTTTCTCATCACGGATGGCTCGCGCCTTTTTAAAGATGCCGTTCCGTCCGTGTTCTCTTGGTTCTGGTCCTTACTTGTCCTCTGTCGACGGCCACGAGCGTTGCCTTCAGTGTCTGGACATCCAACACGCTGAAGCCGCGTTCGTGGATGACTCATGTGTTCATTGCGAGTGTATGAGCATGGCTTCGATGCGATCTTGCCTCTCTCTCCTCATGGGGAACGGAGCGGCACCCGCTGTCTCTACCCATCCCGGTTTCCCTGTCACGAGCAGGGGACCGCCGGCTAGAGCTCTGGGATTTCTGAGGGTCACAGTGAGAGCTTCTCTGCTGGGCACGGCCCCACGGACTTCTCACTCCTCCCGCAGCGAATGTCCCGTGCGGCTCCTGAGTGATTTCACTGGCCCGGCTCATGAAGGTCCCAGCATTTAATTCCGTGTGCCACCGGAAGATCGGATGTCGATCGCAGCATTGGGGGATGGGCTATCGTCCTCCAAGGATGAAGATTTGGAAGTGACGGCCGTGCTTCCTGGGCAGCTGCGAGTATCGGGATGGAGGTGTGCACACCTCCCAGTCCCGCCCTCTCGCGGCTGGATGATTGGTTTCTCGGCGTGGCTCACAACCGTGCCGTGCGCCGGTGCCTTTTTCCACGGAGGTGCATGAGGAGCATGAAGTCGTGGACGGCCACTTTTTTGACCAGAAGCCGCTCGTCTCCCTCCTCCGTCCTCACTATCCAGCTATCCTGCAGGTCCACCAAGCCAAGGCACTCATACAAATGCACGAGGGTAGTTCCGAACCGGGGTTGATGCAGGAACTGCGCATGGCGACTGACTTTGCCCTCCGGGCGACGAAAGTTGCGGAGCGGTCCCTCGGGAAGACAATGTCCACGCTTGTGGCCCAAGAGCGTCATCTTTGGCTTAACCTCGCTGAGATGAGAGATGTCGACAAAGTGCACTTTCTTGACACTCTTATCTCGCAGGTTGGCCTATTCGGCGACACTGTCGAGGAATTTGCCCAGCAGTTCTTGGCAGTGCAGAGACAGACTGAGGCCATCCAGCACATCTTGCCCCAGCGTGATCCTCCAGCTGCCACTGCTCCGCCGTAGGCCGCACCTCAGCCTGCTTGTCGCCGAGGGTGCCCCCCTGCGTCCTCCAGAGCATCTCTGCCACGTGCTGAGACACCGTCAAGGCCGGTGTGTCGAGCCTCTCGGAGGACTGCGACGCCCTCCGTGTCCCAGCCGACCCCTAAGTCCTCTAAAAAGACGACAAAGCGGCCCTGACACGGGCAACCCGGAGATGTGGAAAGCTGCTCTTTTTCAGGAGATGGAGAGAACAGCGCCACTCCTTCCCCCGGAGGAGGGCCGGGCGGAAAATCCTTTGTTCCGTTTTGTTTCTGTTTCGCCGCTGGTCCAATGGTCAGTTCGCCAGGCGACCCCCCAGGTTCAGCGGCATTCTCGAGACTTCGGTGGCAGCTCGAGATGCTCCTGTCCTGCACAACGAGATTGCTGTCCTACTGCGAAGGACGCAAATGAGCCTGTCCATCCAGCCAAGATGAAGTCAGGATTTTACAGCCCTTACTTCTTCGTTCCCAAGAAAGGCAGTGGCCTTCGGCCAATCCTGGATCTGCGAGTCTTGAATAGGGCCCTTCACAAGCTCCCATTCAAGATGTTGACGCAGAAGCGTATCATCAGATGCATCCAGCCCCAGGATTGGTTTGCAGCAGTCGACCTGAAGGACGCTTACTTTCATGTCTCGATTCTTCCTTGACACAGGCCATTGCTACGGCTTGTGTTCGAGGGTCGGGCATGGCAGTACAGGGTCCTCCCCTTCGGGCTGTCCCTGTCCCCCTGTGTCTTTACGAAGGTCGCGGAGGGCGTCCTTGCCCCGTTATGGGAAGTGGGCATCAGGATCCTCAACTACCTCGACGACTGGCTCATTATGGCCCAGACATGAAAGCAGTTGTGCGATCACAGGGACCTGGTGCTTTTCAACTGGGAAAAGAGCAAACACTCCCCGTGCAGAAGATCTCTTTTCTCAGTATGGTGTTAGACTAGGTGAGTACAAGACAAGCACATGTTGGTCCGCACAGACAACACTGCGGCTGTCTCGTAAATCAACTGGCAGGGTGGTCTACGATCACGTCGCATGTCACAGCTCGCCCGTCATCTCATCCTCTGGAGCCAGATGCGGCTTAAGTCGCTGTGCGCTATGCACATTCTGGGGGAGCTCAATCGTGCAGCTGACGCGCTCTTATGACAGCTCACGTTCCCTGGAGAATGGCGAATCCATGCCGAGATGATCCGGCTGATCTGGAGTCGATTCAGGGAAGCCCAGGTAGACCTGTTTGCTTTCCACGAGTCCTCCCACTGCCAGCTGTATTACTCCCTGAACGAGGCACCCCTCGGCACAGATGCACTGGCACACAGCTGGCCTTGGGCTCTATGCAAGTATGCGTTTCCACCAGTGAGCCTTCTCGCACAGACACTGTGCAAGGTCAGGGAGGACGAGGAACAGGTCTTGCTAGTTGCGCCTTACTGGCCCACCCGGACCTGGTTTTCAGAACTCATGGTCCTCGCGACAGCTCCTCCCTGGCACATCCGTCTGAGGAAGAACCTCCTTTCTCAGGGGCTCGGCATCATATGGCACTGTAGCATCTGGACCAATCAAAAACACAATTTTTCATTTGATTTAACAAATCAGTTATTCATTAGATTAACAAGTCGTCACAGACCCCTCACCCAATAGACTGGGTGCCAGGATGTCTGCGAATGACCACAGGCCACTGGTGGAGTCACTTAATCATGCCGATTTATGCTACAAGCTCTGTGTCGAGTTGAACAGTAAGAAAGTTATTTCCTTTAACCAGAAAATTAACGTTCTTAGAATTGACAGACAGTTGAACCTGAGAGGTCAGCTAAATATCTACAGCGGATCTAAATATTTATAATTAATTATAACTAGTTATGATTAATTATTCATTATTCAATGATTCGCTACAGCACCCTTTCGTGATCAGGTGGTGAACCTGCAAGCACTGCCCTCAGAGGAGGCAGATCCAGCCTTGGCGTTGCTGTGTCCCGTAAGAGCATTGCGCATATACGTGGACCGCACCCGGAGCTTCAGAAGCTCTGAGCAGCTCTTTGTCTGCTACGGAGGTCAGCAGAAAGGGAAGGCTGTCTCCAAGCAGAGGTTGGCCCACTGGATAGTTGGCCTACCAATCCCAAGGCGAGCTGTGCCCCCTGGGGGTGAGGGCTCACTCCACACGGAGTGTTGCCTCCTCCTATGCACTGGCGCATGGCGCCTCTCTGGCAGACATCTGTAGAGCTGTGGGCTGGGCGACACCGTACACCTTCGCGAGTTTTTACAGTCTCCGCGTTGAGCCGGTTTCTTCCCGTGTGTTGGGTAACAGGTAAGTGACGGGAAGAGCCGGCTGGTGTCACGCATGCTGAGCCATTCCCCCACACCTGGGGATGCGAGCGCCTTTTGCTCCTCCAGTAAGTTCCCTGGATGGCGAACCCTAGTTGAGTATCCTCCAGCACCCCCGGCAGTCAGAATGGGCAGAGCAGTCTGACGCCAGGCCCAGTATCGGTGTTAGCTTGCCCGGGTTTCCAGTCAGCCCCTATACTGGACTAGGTGTCCATATGGCTTGATTCCCTGCGGGCGATCCCATATATGTATTCTTCCACTGTAAGGTTTCCCTCTCTGTGAACCTGTGTCTTCCCTTTGACAGAACACTCTGTCAGTCTCTTCTGGCATCTGCTCCTCCCTACTCCTAGGTAGGACCTGCCTCAGAGACCCATTCCGTAAGTTGTACTGCTCCAGGCCTGGGTCAGTCCATATCAGTGTCTCCACATGATACCTCCCTATGGGCAGGATGTGGTCTCCGTAGCGCCCTTCTCCGCTTCCCCTTCGTTACTGCCAAACTGTAAACAACAATTAGGAAAGGCGTGAAGCACCTTTCATGAAGGTCAAAATCCCTTCTCTTAAGAAAAAAATGTCTGTCATAGGAACAGCGACTTGCCTATCTCCAGCAGCGATGTACTCAACTTTTGGTCCCTGCGGGTGCCAAGGTCAGCAAATTTGCGCTGGGGCGTTGGTAAGGTTACAACCTTTGTGTAGCATTTGTCTGACACGCGGCTGCTTGTCTACATTTGCAGCACTACAGGGTTGTGACGGGGTTCAGGTTGTGGCGCTTTCCATGGACCCCCTATGTCGTCACGACATAACTTGTAGTGACCGACAGATAGGGAACGTCTCGGTTATTTACATAACCCTCGTTCCCTGATGGAGGGAACGGAGACATTATATCCCCATGCTACAAACTTGAACCATCGCTGGTTGCCAGGGGCACGTTCTCGGCTCCTCAGCGTAAAACCTGA